CGCCCCCCCCCCCCCCCCCCCCCCGCACCGGGTTCACCATGTCAGACACGTCGCACACAGTTGCACGATAAGCAGCGAACTAAGACCCAGGGTAACTGCTGATGGCCTATCGCCCCCGCTTCGTTATGTATACATCAATGAGGCTACAACACAGAGTCTTTGACCGGGGAAAAACAAAACACAAACAAGGCGGGGGCGCATGGGAACATGTTGATTGGATATGATTTCATCTAACGATTCGGACCCATTCGTCTCAGCCTAATGCGACAAGACAAGACAATAGAAGCCATGTGTGCTGGCACAAGCGGGAGCCTGGCTCTCGTGAAACCACGTCGCACGAATCATTTCAACTCATACTTCATCTCGTTTTCGTAGAACGAGAGCTTCGGGGCAAAGATACGTGGGAGGGGGACGTCGGGCTCTTTGCTCAAGGCTTGCAGCGGCCGAAGTAGCGGGGGTACAGGCAGCAGTCGCGGACGGTGTGCTGCTTGCAGAGCCAGGCGAGGAAGCGCTCGAGACCGAGTCCGTAACCGCCGTGGGGCGAAGAACCGTACCTAGAGGGTTGTGTTAGCGAATTCTGAACACAATATGGGCGTGTTGGTGGGTGGGTGGATGACTTACTTCCTCTGGTCAGTGTACCAGTAGTACGCCGCAGGATCGATACCTTCACGTGCAAACGCACCCATCAACTCATCGTAGTTGTCCATCCTCATACTGCCTCCAACAATTTCGCCAACACCAGGCATCAAGCAGTCTACGCTCTCGGTGACCCGCGCATCGTCCTTATCCTTGAGCATGTAGAAAGCCTTGATCTCTGTGGGGAAGTGGGTCAAGAAGATGGGCCTGTTGATGATATCCGTCATGCGACGCTCAGCAGCCTCAGCAATATCGTCACCGAACTTGTGCGGCTCGCCGTCTTCATTGGGGATCTCGTGCTCGACGAGCCAGTCAATGGCGTCTTGGTACTTCATGCGCTTGAACGGTCGCTCGGGGAGCTGGAACTCTGGGTTGAGGTCCATGATGTATTGCTTCACAACGGGGTCGGCCATTGTGACTTCAAGGACGCGGCACATGACTTCTTCCAGGTGGTTAAGTAGGTCGTCGAAGTTGATGTAGTCGAGTTCGGCTTCGACGTGCGTGTACTCTGCTAGATGGCGGCGCGTGAGCGACTTCTCCGCGCGGAAAGACTTCTCGATACAGTAAACGTCGCCCATGGATGGTAGGCAAGTCTCGAGGTAGAGTTGGGAGGACTGGGTGAGGTAGGCTTCTTCGTTGTAGTAGCCGAATTTGAAGAGCGTAGCACCGCCTTCGACCTGCGTCTGGACGAGCGCAGGCGGGCTGACTTTGCGTAATCGCATCTCCTTGTAGACTTGGTTGAAGGCAAACTCGACGGCATCGCGGACGATCATGACCTTGGAGGCTGTCTCTCCGCGGAGAGTGAGATGTCGCAGGTCAAGTAGTGTCGCGTGCTCAGTGTCCTTTGATACTCTGTTGGTGATGGCATCGTCACCACCGGCCGCCTTCCATCCATCGTGGATCTTGTAGTAGTCGACGTGCAGTTCGCGGTTGTTGGGTGCGTGTGCGCCCTCTGGGATCTTTCTCAGCTCTCCGAAAATCTCCATGCTGGTCTCGCGGGTCAAGGTAAGGGCGTCGTATGTCTTTGCGAGGTTTCCAGTGAAGATGACTTGCATCTGACCGTAGCCGTCTCTTAAGGTAACAAACATGACATCCTTTTGTCTCCGCTCGCGATGTACACGACCAAAGACGCGTACACGTGTGCCCTTTGTGTCCTTGCCATCTCCCAGTGTAATCTTCTTCGGGTCGGTGTCGTCGAGCTTGATCTTGATGGGCGCTGGCAGGCTCTTGTCCTCTTCTATGACAATCTTCTTAGCCTCATCCAGCACCTTGTTGCGGTCGTGCTCCTCCTTCATGCGCTGCGCAAGCAATTGTTGGTCCTTCTCCTGCTTCTTCTTCTGCGTCTTGGCGTAGTTGACGGCCTTCTTCATGGCCGACTTGGCGGCATCCTTCCATTCTAACCTCGATGTCGCGTCGGCGCCCTCTGCGATCTCGCCGGTGACACTCTTGCGGGTGAGGAACTTGGCTGTCTCGCCGCGGGTGAGGACAGCGTATCCGAGTGATTTGTAGGGCAGCGATTCGTCGCCAGTTTGCTCTGGGGTGTCGTGACCGACGTCTTCGTCGATGTAGTAGGTGGCTTCGGCCATGGTTGCGGTATTGGGGTATCGTGTGGTGTTCAATGGGTGGTCGTTGCGCTCCGAAATATATTGGGTGGCCGCGGGGTGCTTGACTCACCCCTCCAAGGCTCCGTGCACGCCTATGTGAAGCGCGACATGTATCGATAAGGACTTATAGTTCCTGCGCCGCCTCCTTATCTGTCGGTGAAGAGTCATATCAATGCGTTTCCTATTGATAGAGAGCTCTATACTAGACACGTTTTCCCCGTCGGCTTACGAAGTATTTCCAACTATCGCTCGTTGCCCAGATTGAACGTAAGGCTTTCGTGCGACTTGACGGCTCACTCGTCTTACATCGCAATCTGGACTTGACACACATTCTCACATGATAGAACGTTTGACATGATGCACGCCATATGTATGAGTGCATCTGTAACTTGGTACATGGGCTGACTGACTGCATTGGGGTATTGCAAACCAAGGCCGCTGTAATTCCGCGCTGACAAACGGAAGACCTCCGCTGCGTATTGTTGATTGTTTTGTCAATTATAAAAGTTGCGCGATACAACAAGAGAAGTGCATTTGAACATCAACATAGCGTTCAATTTGAACGATGGCCGATCCAAATCTCTACACGTATGCGTCTCCTCTGAAAGGCTACGAAGGCCTCGAGCCATTGCCCGAGTACGTTGCACTTGAAAGCTCTCCGTTACACAGCTTGACTGCCATAATGTATCTAGACGAGACCGTGCTAACATTGTACAGTGAAAGGGCTGAGGACGGGAAATCCTACGTAAACCCACCAACCGAGAAGAAGAGCGAAGCATACAAGTCCTTTGTAGCTCCTATAACCAACGGAATTCGAGGAGGCTTCGAGTAAGTCTTAAAGTTGAGATGCAGTTATTTATGTATCTGACAGCAACTAGCGTTCACATTTACTTCCTCCAGTCTGATAAAGACGAGGTCAAGTTCGCCAACGAGCTGTGGGAACGGATACGCCGCGAATGTAAGTACAACATCCATGCATACGACTTGCATGATTGCTGATACAGTACGAAGTCCCCGAGTTGCGCATCTACCGAGTATGGGATCGACCCATTGGTCCTCATCCTCTCGCCATGTTTGAAGTCAACATTTTCACACCCGGTACGGGATGGAGAGAACACACCTCTATGCCTATGCTAACGACCAGCAGAGCAATTCGGTGCTTTCATTCCCTGGCTCGTGATCAACAGAGGGCCATTGTCTGCACTGATTCATCCAAACACCGACGATGAGTTGAGAGATCACACGCAAAGAGCGACGTGGATGGGGCAGCCACTGCCTGTGAGCACAAAGATGTTCAAGAAGACGGCCGAGACATTGTGAGGACAATTGTGGGGACTGCAATGTATAGATATAATTCAGTGGTATCTTCTGGTGCACCACACTCCCTGAGAGTCGCCGTGAACTGGTGCCGCATTTTACAGTTTCGTCGTCCAGGTCATCGTTGTGCCTTCTTTCAGTAGCACTTCTCCTTCAGTGGCATATTCTTGATGATGCCCGCATGACCCCTCAAGATCAATCGTTTGGTGCTTTATGACAACGACGTGTTTATTGTGCGTCTCGTGCTTTCGTAGTTTCCGATGTTCCTCATACTTTGGTCTCGCCCTTCTTCTTTTTCTTAGTCTTCTTCGCCTTCTTCTTGTCTCGCTTCTTCAGCCCACTCATGCCTGTCTTACACGCCTCAGCATACCGTGCGTAGAATGCGTCCAAGTCGTCTGGCTTCACCACAGTGCTCAATATTATCTTGGGGATGTCCTCTCTGTCGGTGCCTGCCTTCTTGTCGCTCCCGTTGTTATGTGCGCGAATCAGGACAGGTAATGGCTCGTCAGGATGTGTGTCCCATAATGGATCGTCGGCGACTTTGCTGGCTGGAGGAGGTGTAGCAGAGGTACCGAATGTCATGCGCTTCTGGACTAGGTAGACGCTGCCGTGGCCTTTGGTGCGCGTGTACTCGAAAAGATTGGCGAGCCGTGTGAAGAACTGCAAAGGTCAGTGTTGAACAGCCGCTTGCCTAATTGACTTGATCGTACCTCCTCGTTGGTTAGGTGGTCTCGCGCCATGGTGAAAGTCGAGTGCTATGGTGCGCGCGCCATGTAGTAGTTGGTTGCATGGATGGTGGGATGCCCGCGGCCGTCCGTGTGGAGCGGAGACGCGGGGATTCTCTCACCCAAACTCCGACTTCTCGAACTTTTTTGCGACCGTACCGTCTCGACCATCTCAACATGCGCACAGCTTTCGGAGGGCCCAAATTGCCCGTGGAATTGAGAAATCAGTTCGGTAATACTCTCAGCTAATTCTGGTAACGTTTCAGTGCTAACATCAGCAGACCCAGCGAACAACAACCGACGAAATGGACCGCGCAATGGTCCACCGAATCGCAAAGACAAGCGCAAGGCCGATCGCGTAGAGAAGAAGCGCCAGAACAAGCAGGTCAGACGGCCAGCGCCTTCGCATCCACACAATGGCCGCGGTCCACGTCGAGAAGCCGAGTCGGACGACGACGACGAGGAAGAGGAGATAGACTGGGACAACATCGAATCCGACGCCACCCCACCCCCGATAGCTGCGAAAGAGTCGCCTAAACCGTTAAAGGGTATCCTTAAAGCGAAGCCCTCACAGCCCAAAGAAACGTCGCCTCCGCCTCCTAAACTTTCGCGCGCCGCCCAGGAAAAGCTGGCGCAAGATGACGCTGAGATTGCAAAGTTGGAGAAGAGGCTAGGCGTGAAGAGCAAAAAGAGGTCCAAGGGAGCAGACGATGGTCTGGACGACATATTCGGCGACCTTGGAGATTTCAGTGACGAAGAGGATGCCCAACCTACAAAGAGGAAGAGGAAAGAGGACGACGATTGGCTTGCAAGCAAGAGGCGGAAAGCTCTAGGTCAGGAGTCGAGCGAGGAAGAGGACAGCGAGTCGGAAGGTTCCGCCTTTGATGAGGACGATATGGATTTGGAAGAGACAGGCTTCGACGAAGATGACGAGACTGGGGATGGCTCTGAAGACGGCCTGGGCTCCGATGAGGACGACGAAATGGAGGACGCGGAACCGGAAAAACCACGTGTACGAGAAAACCCATACATTGCCCCCGTTGCTGCGAACGCCCAACCGACCAAGTACATACCACCTGCGCTGAGAGCAGCCCCTGCTTCAGATACGGAGGCTTTGCTGCGTCTCAAGAGGCAAATTCAGGGTCTCTTCAACAGGCTCTCTGAAGCCAACATACTGTCTATTCTGAAGGAGATTGAGAACATCTACCAAAACAACCCTCGAGGCTACGTCAACAACACACTTGTCGACCTGCTCGTTGGCATGTTGTCGGATCCGACAGCTCTCCTCGATACCTTCCTAAACCTACACGCTGGTTTCATCGCTGCCGTGTACAAAGTCATCGGACCCGATTTTGGCGCGCAAATAGTGGAACGCATCGTCGCAGAGTTCGATCAACACTACCAGCCGAACAAGGACGGAAATGGAAAGCAGACGGCAAACCTGATATCTGTAGTCGCGGAGCTGTACACGTATCAAGTCATTGGCAGCAACATCGTCTTCGACTACATCCGGTTCTTCCTAGACGAACTTACGGAGATCAATACCGAACTCCTACTGAGAGTAGTCAGGGCATCGGGCCCGCAACTGCGACAAGATGACCCAACTTCACTCAAAGACATTGTCGTCTTGCTGCAAAAGTCTGTGGCTAAGGTTGGCCAGAACAACCTACCCGTCCGAACAAAGTTTATGATCGAGACGATCAATGACCTCAAGAACAACAAGATGAAGACAGGCATAGCTAATTCCGCACTTTCAAGAGAGCACACGATACGCATGAAGAAGCAGTTGGGTACTCTGAATTCAAGAAACCTCAGAGCAACCGAGCCGCTACGTGTTGGCCTCAAGGACATCAAAGACACAGATAAAAGAGGCAAGTGGTGGCTAGTGGGAGCGAGTTGGCGAAACGAACCTGACAACGAGGAGAAACCCGAGGAATCAAAGCAATCTGGCAGGGCTTCAAAGACCATCGACATTGAGGACGACGACAGCGAAGTCGATCTCGTGCAACTTGCCCGCGAACACCGCATGAATACGGACATTCGGCGCGCCATCTTCGTTTCTATCATGTCTGCCAGCGACTTCAAAGACGCTCAAATACGACTGAACAAGCTCAACCTCAAGAGGTCGCAGGAGGCGGAAATTCCACGGGTCATTGTGCATTGCGCAGGCGCCGAGAAGACCTATAACCCATACTACACAGTCCTCGCCCGAAAGGTCTGTTCAGATCACAAGACACGAAAGAGTTTCCAGTTTGCATTATGGGATATCTTCAAGAGTCTAGGAGAGAAGCAAGATGGCGCAGATGACTCGGATGATGACGATGACGATGCAGGTGGTGACACATCTCTTCGCAAACTTGTTAACCAAGGCAAACTGTACGGCACACTGATCGGCCGGAAAGCTCTACCCATCACTAGCCTCAAAAACCTCAACTTCCCTTACCTGCAGCCAAAAACCAAGACGTTCATCGAAGTCTTGCTAGTCACGACGATTCTGGAGTCGTTCAAGGCATCCAAATCGAAGGACAAGCGAGACGAGCGGGCAGTACGCGAAGTATTTGTGGAGGTGGATCAGGCTCCTGAGATGATTGCTGGGCTGCAGTTCTTCCTCAAGAAGATTGTCAGCAAGACAGAGATCGTCGAGAAGCATGAGAAAGAGACTGTTCGATGGGCCTGCAAGTCAATAATAGACATGTTGACGAGAGTACTGGCCACCACGACGTTGACGGAGGACTGAGAATAGGAAGGGATGAGTCATTGCCGTTACATATAGCCAGAATACCCTTTATTTGCCATATAGAGTAATGCGATACCGGTTGCCGGGACACTGAGACGAAGATGTTACGGAGTAGATGTGAGGCACTTTGTCAGCTTGGCGCCACCCTTGACCCTACGGAAGCCGCATAGACCTTCCCGGCCGAGCTCCGCAAAAAGCTCAACCACATCTCCCATCCCACGCCCCATCCATTGACGCCTGTCATCCCCGCCGTACACTTCACGGCTTCTCTTGGTAGCGATTCTTCGGTAGTCTCCACCATGTTCCGCTCACTGGCACCCCGCGCCATGCAGAGGGCGACGCGGCCCGTCTCCCAAAAGACATTTTGCGCATCCAACATCTACTTCCAGAACCGGTTACGACGAGGCTATGCGTCGGAGGCTGGTAAGTCGCATTACTACGAGGTTTAGAGGGGATCATGTGCTAATTCTTGGATAGAGGACAAGGACCTAGTCATCATCGGTGGTGGTGTCGCAGGCTATGTCGCAGCCATCAAGGCAGGACAGGCGGGCATGAAGGTTAGCGACGACAAACATGGCGATTGCGCAGTTCAAAAGCTCACACGGCGATAGGTCACCTGTATCGAGAAGCGTGGCTCCCTCGGTGGAACCTGCTTGAACGTCGGCTGCATTCCCTCAAAATCGCTCCTGAACAACTCGCATCTCTACCACCAGATTCTCCACGACACAAAGGGTCGCGGTATCGAAGTCGGCGATGTCAAGCTCAACCTCCCCGCCATGATGAAGGCGAAGGACACCTCCGTGTCCGGCCTCACCAAGGGAATTGAGTTCCTTTTCAAGAAGAACAACGTCGAATACATCAAGGGCACTGGCGCATTCCAGGACGAGCACACCGTCGCTGTCAACCTGACCGAGGGTGGCGAGACCACCGTCCGCGGCAAGAACATCCTCATCGCCACTGGTTCCGAGGCTACACCCTTCCCTGGCTTGACCATCGACGAGCAGAAGGTCATCACAAGCACTGGCGCTATTGCGCTCCAGGAAGTGCCAAAGAAGATGACTGTCATTGGCGGTGGTATCATCGGACTTGAGATGGTACGAAAACCGATCTGATTTGCATGGCATTTCTAACGAATTATAGGCCTCCGTATGGTCGCGTCTCGGCTCTGAGGTTACCGTTGTCGAGTTCTTGGGTCAAATTGGTGGCCCTGGTATGGACAACGAAATCGCCAAGCAGACACAGAAGATCCTCACAAAGCAGGGTCTGAAGTTCAAGCTTAACACCAAGGTTACCGCCGGTGAGGTTCACGACGCCGGCGTTAACGTCAGCGTTGAGGCCGCCAAGGGTGGAAAGGAGGAGACCGTACGTCCAGCGCATGCATCTGTGTTTAGAGAGAATGCTAACCATTACAGATCGACTGCGACGTCGTCCTCGTTGCCATCGGTCGCCGCCCATACACCTCCGGTCTTGGTCTGGACAACATCAACCTCGAGACCGACGACAGGGGCCGCTTGATCATCGACCAGGAATACCGCACCAAGATTCCCCACATCCGCGCTATCGGAGACTGCACATTCGGACCTATGCTTGCCCACAAGGCTGAGGAGGAGGCTGTCGCCGCCATTGAATACATCCACAAGGGTCACGGCCACGTCAACTACGGTGCCATTCCCTCCGTCATGTACACCCACCCTGAAGTCGCCTGGGTCGGCCAGAACGAGCAGGAGCTCAAGGAGGCCGGTATCAAGTACAAGAACGGAACCTTCCCCTTCTCCGCCAACTCAAGAGCCAAGACCAACCTCGACTCTGAGGGTATGGTCAAGTTCCTGGCAGATGCTCAGACTGACCGGATATTGGGTATCCACATCATTGGTGCCAACGCCGGTGAGATGATCGCAGAGGGCACTCTTGCTCTCGAATACGGTGCCAGCTCAGAGGGTGAGTCGAATATACCATCTATCTTTGCAGAACAAAGCTAACAATGCCCCAGATGTTGCCCGCACATGTCACGCTCACCCCACTCTCGCTGAGGCGTTCAAGGAGGCTGCCATGGCCACCTACGACAAGGCTGTTCACTACTAGATTCCCCTTTTTTGGTCCGGCTTTCCCTTTCTGCATCAGCGACATGATGTTCGAGCTCTCAAGCGCGCGAGCAGGGAGTTGTGAATAGTATTTTGTAGAATATATCTGATGCGTCATGCTTGCCAATTGAGTTTTCGGGATTGATGTGCATGTGATGATGCCCGCGGGTGGAGCCGGCAAGGCTGAGGCATCCCTG